AAGTCTTGGGAGGCCGCAGACTAAATTCAAGCTTCGCATTTCGATAAATAAATCAACAGCAAGGCTTTCTGGTCTTCCTTCCTGGACCCCTTTTTCAAGAGCAGCCTGATTCTCTCCCCACAAGAATGAGTCAAGTTTTAGAAGTCTGTGACTCAAGTCATACTCAAATCATAAGTTGTATTTTGACAAAGCACCCATCCCCAGGTTTCCAGATCTCTGTCCCCTAGATCCCTACTTCAAAGAGCAGACCATATAGCTTCTGCAACCTGGTTCTCTCAATGTAAAACCGAGTCAGATTTCAGGAAGCCAGTGATCAAAGCGACAATTTTTATTTTGATACGTGAACCCATTCCGAGGTATCCAGGAAGCAATCTCTGGACTCTACCTCAAAGAGCAGAGCACAGTGCTTCTGCAGCCTGATTCTCTCCCCATTAGCCAGAGTCAGCAGTCGGTTGTCGTCCATGACAGAGTTCATGTTCTCCACCCACAGCGCGTCCACGTCTCCGTCAAAGACAATGTATTTCCTCTCGTTCTTGTCGGTGGGCCGGTTGATCTCCCGGAAGATGTTGGAGAGGAGTCCGTCGGTCCAGTCCCGAGTGTTTGGGTCCAGGATGCCATAGAGCTCGATGACACTCATGGCCTTGGGGTTCATGATGTACAGCTTGGTGTGAATACCGAGCCTGTTGGATGAGAGATCAATTTGTAAAGGGGGTATTATGAACAATCGGGGGCAGATTTCAGGCAAGATCACCATGAACAGACATCTGCCAAATTTCAATTTTGAAAGGTTCCTCTGTAAAGGTACATTATGGTTACAATGTCAAGCTATGATTAAATGAAGCAGTCAGAGGTTTTTTTGGGGGGGGGGATTAAGCGACCGATCTTTGGGTTAAACATCTTTTTTCAAAGCAGGTAAAGATTCAAAATCATCCTCTCTTTCTAATTGGCTGAATTTAAAGACAGAAGTACAGAAGTAAGAACAACCAGATAACCAGCCATATCATGAGGTGCATACATTAAGTGACCAATTCACGGCTAATTTTTGCTAAGCAAAAATACATCAGCCATATTTGCTGCTGAGGACCTTCTCGACAAGCAGCTGAAGCAAGAAAAAGGAAGCATGTAGGAAACTGATTGATGGTTCATTGAATGTTTGGGAAATCCCGTGAGATATAACATCTTGTACTAGTTCTATCACCAAAGGAGATACTCCAAACCATTTTCTGAAGCCCTTCTCATGTTATGAACCAAACAGAAGGACTAAAGCTTACTTTGTCTGTGCCTGGGCGAGTGCGTTGATGACGACGCTCTTACCACCTCCAGTTGGTCCAACGACCATAGTGGTGTGTCTGGTCAGCATGGTCTCGTACATCTGAACCACTTTGTCAACCTAGGAATAGACCCAAACAAAATCAAGTGAGCAAACCTTGATGGATAATGCCACCGAAGGGGACACTGGTGTTCATCGGGACGAGATGAGCTCTGTCAAAACCAGACACTTCTTGGTAGCAGGTCAAGAACAAGTTTTGGATGTTTATTATGAAAAACATCTTTTCCTTTTCTGTGTGATCAATTATATTTTTTTGCCACACGCCACCAAACTGCAAGGTGTATACCTGGTGATCCAGCATGATGTAATTCTGGTCTGCTAAGGCTGCCTCCACGGCATCGTTGAAGTTGGGGTACCGGACTCGAGGGCAATCCAGGCCAGGGAAGAGATCGGAAATCAGACCCAGGAACAAGGGAACGTCCTCGAAGACGAACTTGGGCAGGTTCATGTCGCGAAGGGCCCTCATCAATACAACATCCTAGAAATTAGAAGCAGAAAACAAGATGAGGGTTAAGAGTGTCTTGAAACACAGACGTCTAAGGTTCAAACCCCATTTCAGTAAATTTTCTTTGATCTGGATAAATGATTTTGATATGAAAAAATATTTTCAAGATGTATTTTTTTTTTTATATAATTGACATCTCCCCAACGCAAAAATACATCTTGAAAATAGTTCGCGGTACCCGCTGCTTCATTTGACTCGGACCGGCCAGCCAACCCCGGTAAGCTCGGTGGTCGAGTGGTTAAGACATCTGCACTAGTAAGCAGGAGGTCGTGGGTTCGAGTCCAACCCGAGTAAGCTTGTGAGGTTTTTTCGCAAGCTCTCGAACAAGCACTGAGCATACAGTGTTTATCAATATACGTTGGGTAAGGGCAAACCCGTTATATATAATATGAAAAAATAATTGAATAATTTGCTAACTGTGGCAAACCAATGCAACATCCTAGAATTTAGCAATTGGAAAAAAGCAACGGAAAAGATAAGTTGCATCTTGCAACTCAGCAGTCCAAGGTTCGAAACCCACTTCGGTGAGTTTTCTTTGTTTATGTTGAATTATTGAGTTACCTCTGCCAGGTCGGGTGATCCTCTCTTGAGCTCGCCAGCCATGACCAAGACTGACTTGAGAGCACGAAGGCCAAAGTCATAGTGGTACTGCTTGGACAACTGCTCCTTGGCCAGCTTATACAGGACAGTCATCTTCTTAGCTAGAACCTAGACAAGAACATCAGTCAAGATACAAATAAATTTAATAGTACTTCAGCAGGGTTTTTAAAACAACCTTTTGGCTTTGGAGAAACTTAGATTTGCCAACTTAGCACCATTACTCGTGAGTTCTTCCAAGACACTTCTAAAATTTCCTAGGATGATAACAGACGATAATGCTTGGGATGACTTCAATGACTGTACCTTGGCCATGATGAATCCCTCGGAGAACAGCATGATCTCACAGATCTGTCCCAGATCGGGAACGATGACGACCACGGGTCTGAACAGTGCCTTGACACTCTCCGGCAGCTCGGTCCGGCCTGCGTAGCCAGGATTCATGGTGATGAAGATACCCATGCGATTGTCCATGGTGATTTCATTACCCTCAAACTGGAAAGACAAAAATCTTGTGAATACTTACAGCCAATAAACAAGTTTGGTTTGAGCTCTTTTATGAAGTAGTAATCAATGTTGAAGTCAAGTCCATCATTAGTCCTTTCATAAAGCCGGTCACAAGTCTGGTCGCCAGACCAGTCTTAGGTAGCTGGGTGAACAATGACAAAGGAATGATTGTGTCACAGTTCAATAACTTATGACTTGGTTTAAGACTGCATGACTCGTGAAGGATTTGTGGACCCCACTACATCACTGATTGTAATGAAGGTCATCTGACTATAAGCCCTAAAATTATAACTTTAAATTTCTAACAAGAGCTGTGATTAGCACACTGAAGTATTCCTTAAACAGAACCCGATAGTATGATACAGTGGGTTTCACATTCGTCAACTAACAAGTGACACCACCACATTCAGTGGTCCAGTGGCCAGGACGTCTGCTCAAGAAGACAGAATTCTAAAGGTTTAAGTCCAGACCAAGTAAGTCAGTCAGTTGTTTTTCTCACAAGGAAGAATCAAAATGCAGACCTTACAATACTTTGTCAGCAAATACAAAATTCTGTGTTTTAATACAAGGATTTATTTTCTTCACCTGGAATTTCTTGAGGTTGTGGATGAGGGCATTTCTGATGGTCTGAATCTGGGACGAAATGACGGAGAGTACGGACACGTCGATACGGTTGAACTCGTCGAAGCATCCCCAGGCACCGCACTGAGCCAGGCCGGAAAAGATCTTACCCACAGCCTGAGGAGATAAAGATGATGCATTGGGATGAATGGATGTTAAACGAGAGCTGCCAAGATGAACACCTTGATTGATCAACGCTCCTTCAGGTGAAATCTCATCAAAAAAGTGTTGCAATAATTATAAGTGAATACACTAAGTGACACAACCCAACAAAATGAGCCGCAAGTTGCCAAAATCTTATTTGAATTATAAACCTGGTACAATAAAAACTATAAGAACTCTTAACATTTTCACACTTGCAATGTGAACAGCTACTGGGACGTCAAACCAAGAGGTGATTTTTATCAAAGTGAGGAGTTGAGTTTATTCTACTTCATGCAAAAAAACTAGAAAGATACAAATTGTGCTTAAGATTCATTTTGTGGGATTCAATCACATTTACATATTCAGGACTTTTTACATCATCGGCAGAGAAAGTCAAGCATACTGCATTTTCACTCAGGTCTGGTAAATAACAGTACAGTGCCCTCAACAGTTCAGGCAAATACAGGTCGTATAATTATTTCACAACTAGCACAATGCTTCTCCCATAACTGGAGGCAAGTCATACACACGCCTTCTCACTCAGCTCTGCCCTCAACAGTTCAGGCACACAGAGGGTGTACAGCGATGTCAGGACAGTCACAGGGCAATTCTTTTGAATAACTAACACAATACCTCTACCACCGGGGGGGGGGCCAGAGCTACAAGTGGGAGCAGTCACACAGCGCCCTCAATTGTTCATGCGAAGAGACAATACAAACCGCCCACCTTGTAGTCCATTCCTTCCCCACAGTTGGTGACCACACACAGCAAGCCCAGGGCCTTGGCCAGATCTTTGGTGGTCTCCGTCTTACCAGTGCCTGCTGGTCCGGCTGGTGCCCCGCCTAGCTGCATAGACAATGCCTGCCAATCAAAAGAACAAAGCTTTCACTGGAACCAAGAACTTCAACTGTGAACATGCAAATTACTGCTGTGAATGGAGGACACTCCGCCACTAACTACGTCTGCCAGATATCCACAGCCATGTCTGAACTATCTAGCTATAGCTAAAAGCAACACACTTGTCAATGGGAAATGGTTGCAGCTGCTAGGGTAGTGACTTCCATAGGGGCACGTGTCATTTTAAGCCACAGCTGCAACTTCTAGCAGCAGCCGAAGGTGAGTTCCTGTCAATCAATGGCACATGACCATTGTGCACATTCAGCCGAAAATCAGTCGTGCACACTCAACACCACTCTAGCCACACTATGTGTCCTTTCTCAGCCTCCTTCTTCAGTTTCACTACATTTATGTCAATTTTTGACCAGCACATGTCATTCTAATTTTAAAAATCCTCACCATACCTGTGTCAGGGTCAAGTAGATTCTGTCGGTCAGCGGAGTGATCACCAGTCGCCCGTTCAGTCCCATGTATTCGTATCCATAGCCAAATGTTCCCGTGCACTGTCGGACGTTCAGCTCGTCTGGTTCCCTGTCCCAGTAGAACCGTAGCTGGCTCTCCCATTCAAACTCCTTGGCATCCAAGATGCTGCACACAACAAAAGTGTAGACTGGTCCTTGACCCAGTGTCTCAGTTTTTTCATATATTAAACCTTTCTATTCAAAAGAAAACCACATCTGTGTAAAGGATCGTCTGTTGAAATCATATTTACCTATCTCTAACAAAGCCGTCGATGATATCTCTGGCATGCACATCAATGATGAGAACGGTATTGTACTTCTTACGATCATTGTTAGACAAGGGTGATCGCACCTACAGAGGGTCAGAGAGGTGAAAAGCAGAGGCCAACTGAATCACACAAACATGAGAAATGAGATGATGACATGTCAATGAGTACGTGTCAATTTTACACAATATTATCAGTAGACTCCATGAAGCATAGTAGATGAGGGATCTGCAATATTATTAAAGTAAAAGGTTCTACGTTCAAGGCCCTCTCAAAAGAATTTACATATTAAAAATGTTTTTTACAATTTCAAAGTCATCACAGGCAATGCTTTGCATGCCAAACATTTCAATAAACTTTGCTTTTTAAGTTTGAAATGTCCAATCATGACTCATGCCGCATGTTACTCAATCTAACAAACTGAGTCATGAGCCAACCGAGCAACTTCTAAGTGAAAGGCCTTTTAGGAGAATCTTGCACTGTGCAAATTGGGAGGAGCCCTCTACATTTTTATTTATGTAAAGTCCAGTTTCATCAAGATGTCAAAATGGGTAATACTCCAAAACAAAGAACTCTTGGTTCTTTCTTGTGCAAACTAAGAATTACCACAAGGGGGACCTGAGGACTCATCTTGTGGGATCCCGTCACGTCGAGAACAAACCATGGGAACATGGTAGTTTGAGTCCAAGATTCAACTATGCCCATCAGCTAACAAGCTACAATTTCATAGACCTGCTTAAGCACAACATTTGCTAAAGCATGAAAAAACCTTGCTTGACAAATCACGTTTCCAGCCAAAACTCTGTGTGATGTATATTGTTTTGGAATGGTATTCACCTGTCTTTTGGTTAGCATGACGATCACATCGATTTTGAGCTGGTAATCTATGTTTTGTAAGCGAGGTTCCTTTGCACTCCAGCAAATTTTGCACTTAAGCAGCTCTATGAAATTGGCCCCTGGCTCTAGCAACGCCGTACCTGCACCACCAGGTCGTTGATCTGTTGATGCATCTTCTTGGCATATTTCTTCATGGCCGTCTTGTCTCCTAGCTTGACCACCTTGTTGAAGACATCCTCCACCTCCCAGGTCCACCAGACCTGGTTGGTGGCCAGTACCACCATGCCTTGAAACTTGTACATCCAATTCACCCTGCACAAACAAAACATCATTAAGGATAGTCC